ATGAACACAACCTCAAGAATTCTTAATTGCTTGAGACAACGAAGAGAGATCAATTAATTCAAATTCACAGGTGCGTTCATTAGTAAACGCCTCGCTTGACAGTTGGGTCTACATTCTGGCGTGTTGCACTTAAGGCGTGGATGATATCGACATCACCACGGAAGTTTCTTATATTTTCTTGTTCTGTATATTTTGCACTGTGGTCTTTTTCAATATTCTTAAACGTTTTTTGTAATCTCTCCATCAATTTCTGAAGAATAAAACCCACTACTAAATGCATTGGAAACGCCGCACAAATTGCACTCACAATAACTAAATACAGATGAAAATAATGCACTTGAATCTTTAGACAAGATACGAGTACCGCCAAAACAAAGGACATAGCCTTCTAGAAATGCACTAATTTGCCATGTACAAAAATTCGCACGAAAACTCTTCAATTGTTGCATGTGCAGTATTTATACTTCAATTTTTCGGTAGTGTCCGATGAGATTGTTACACCTCCTTCCTTATAAAACGAATATTTTTAATTCATTCGGCAACGTCCTACCCAACGGAGCTCCTGGCCTCAGAAATATGCTTTCCCGTGTCAAAAATATTCATTTTATAAGACAGTGTATCCAGTGCTTGATTTATAAAATTTTAGATTCCGGAATACACCTCAAATTATTAGTTTATTAGTCATAGTTACATATTTATAATATAATTTAATAATTATTTCTGAGGTACCGAAACGCCGTTCCGCCGCGTTCAGAAATGAAGCCCTTGGTGTAAAAATGACATCGATCATTATATAGTCCGATTAAAATAAGTTTGTGCTTGACAGTTGTGCTTCTGAAACTGTTTCATACAATATGGTTAGTGAGATGATTTTTATGCCGTAAAAACACTTGAAATATGCTATTAAAAGGCATTTATGACCTAAAATTCCGAAATATGCTCTTTAATCTGCAATAAAAAATTAACAGTATTTCATTTCCCGAATAAACCTTTCTTGCTAAAATTAATTTTTGACTGAAATATATTTTCCTGCATACATAATACAATCTCACGCGGGAGAAATAATTGAAGTAAATATTCATATTGGTAAATATTAGACCCAAGTACTTTGTATGTCTTGGTGCATTTCTTCTGCCTGGTTAAAGAAATATATCACGAACTCTCCTACATTTGCACAAGTATTTTATCTACAGAAGGAAAAAAACGCAAACCGTGACGAGCTCATTCTAATCAATGAACAGTCACAAGTAAAAATAGTAGATTCTATGAAAAGATAAAACGTTTGAGAGATGAATTTCTATTGTAATGAAATATGCACCTATAATTAATCGAATATGCACCAGCAGGAAAAATCGGCTAAATATGCATTAACATGTTAGTCTATATACCATCCAATACTAACCAATTATCAAGAAATTTCACGTAGGCATGCCCTGAAGCAACGGACAAAATATGCAAAATCAAAGAAATCCGCTCCCTAAACGAGTATATGATTTGATAACTTTTATACGTATTATTTCAGGTGTTGATTTTCGTGTCCCGGAACACGTGCTCAGTGGTACGTAACATGTCAACGTCGCTCCTTTCCATTTGCAACTGTCAATCACAAACATCTTTTAATCAGACCATAGAACAATCGAAGTATAAAAAACAAACACATCGCTCGTGTTAAAGAGGCCATGACTCCGCTTCGTTTAAATGCATTTCGTGACGTCATTTGTCGAACTTTCGAAGAATGTTACCAAGATATGAATCCCATTTACTGTGCAGCAAACAGAAAACGTACTGATAATTTCTTTCCTGTGTCCTCCCGAAACAGGACGAAAACTACTCTGCGTTCACTTGTGAAGATTAGTCTTGGCTTGTTTAAACAACGACGCAGCCGTTTAGAAATTTCTTCTTTTAAGAAAGTCCTTGATCTTACTTGTATTGGTTGGTACTGTTCTCTGCTGGCGACACCAGGAAATTTTATTTCTATTTAAATATTAAAATTTCGGCTGATATCTCAATGTTATACTGGGGATTCGGGGCAAAATTAAAACCAGCGAACCTAACTAAAAAAATGCACCAACGAAGACTGGATTTATCCCAAGGAGGGTTTAATTGTGAATTTGAGGTTAGGAGCCAAAATAAAATTTTAAAAAAATGCCAATGTAATGTACGAAAGTTGTTACAGAAAAAATATAAAAAAATCACGAAACGACGCATTTACAAAAATAATGGATTCAATACAAACATCAAATGGATGAGCATCTTTTGTTCTTGAAGGGGAAAAAATACTCGTACTTGAAGGAAAATTTAATAGATCGCAGCACTATCTCGGATTTTACATTACAGATAACCTCTGAACAAATGGTCCGATAATTTTCTATCTGTAAACGGCACTTAGCTCGGTTCTGATATAGAATTTTCTCTGTGGAGCCCTTTTTCTATTTAAGGCACGCCAGAATCGTCTAAATCTAGTGAGAAGGAGCGTCAATAATTTTGGCAAAATTATTGAATCTCCCTGCCCCCCCTTTAACGCGCGATTGTGGCGCCGAGCGCGTGGGTGGAGTTCTCTGGGCGCAGCAAGCAGGCAGGCAGGCAGGCAGGCAGGCAGAGGGAGGCAGGGAGGCAGGCAGAGGAAGGGAGGCAGGGAGGCAGGCAGAGGAAGGGAGGGAAGGGAGGCAGGCAGACAGACAGACAGACAGGACAGTACAGAACAGACAGACAGACAGACAGACAGACAGACAGGACAGACAGACAGACAGGACAACAGACAGAGGGAGGGTGGGAGGGAGGCAGGCCAGAGGTGGGAGGGAAGGCAGGCAGAGGGTGGGAGGGGAGGCAGGCACGAGGGCTGGGAGGGAAGCAGGCAAGAGGGTGGGCAGGGAGGGCAGGCCAGAGGGAGGCAGGCAGGCAGGCAGGCAGGCAGGCAGGGCAGGCAGGCAGGTAGGCAGGCAGGCTAGGGCAAGGCAGTGTTAGGCAGGCAGGCAGGTAGGCAGGCAGGCAGGGCAGGCAGAGGGAGGCAGGCAGGCAGGCAGGCAGGGCAGGCAGAGGAAAGGAGGAGGCAGGCAGAGGGAGGCAGGCAGGCAGGCAGGCAGAGGGAGGCAGGCAGGCAGGGGCAGGCAACTCCGAAATTTGTCAGTTACTGCTCTCGCCATATTTGGCATCGCAATATTTATTTATTGCACATATCAAAAGTGGGCAGACAGTCTCGTATCCTCTTTACCACAAGTATTAAACTGCGATCAGGAAGAGTAACGTGGAAAAGGGTGGCGAGGAAGCGAGCAAATTAACATCAGAGAACGTTGTCTATTTATGAACCACTGTCCCATTGCCATATGTGATTCGAGATCCCACCCGGCCACTTTCCACAGACCTGTTGTCGCCGACGAGGTACCCACGGAGAAACAACATGCACCAGGGTTTCGTAATGGAATTACTGAGTACGACGTACTGAGAATATTCACGATTTTCGTTGTGAAATAAAATAAGTGTTTTACGTCTACAAATTTAGGAGAATCTGAAGACATCGAAGTAAAGATAACGGTTTGGTGGACAATAAAGTACATGTACATTTTACTTCCATTTTTTTCTTCTTCAATAACGCTTGCATATTACGTAGGTATAACAGAACCCTTATAAGGGTCTTTAGCTTAAGTCGCAACCCATGTCTGAAAGCACTTGTTTTTGTGTTGGCAATTAGACAACGTGTTTTGCCACATTTCTAGACAGCCGCGCCTCGCACGTCGAGACAGCATAGGAGGAGACCGTCAGTTCATTAGCCGCAGGAACTTCTCTGTTTCTGGGCTTTCCCATTCAAGAGCTTACGCCGGCAGGTTTGCGGCTCACACGCCGGAAGTTATTCGCGTTGCACAGAGGGGGGAGGGTGAGTAGAGACATTAACAAGAAACAAAACGTCTCTTTAGGTGATTTTGGCCAGTATGCTTAAGAAACAAAAGGTAATACTGAAGATGTGGAGCTATGACTTTATCAATTTATTAACACCAATGTAACTATTATTTAATGAACGTCTGCTCAAAGAGAGATCAGAAAGATACATCGTGACACATTACCGTTGAGCTCATTATTTATAATAATAATAATAATAATAATAATAATAACAATAATAATAATGTATTATTCAATCTGATTATTAAACAAATAAAAAAGCCTTAATAAAATATAATCTCCTTAATGACAAAAAATTGACCTTTGAGTAAATGCTCAAAGTGACCACCATTTGCCAAGAGACAAGCGTTTACTGTTTTCAGTGTAGTGGCTGCAGTACGTTGAAGACTAATAAAACACTTATTCTGTCCTTGTCTCTCTTCCAACTAAAATTCTCTCACTCCGAAATCTGAGGGCACGCGGCCGTGGGTGGCTAAAAGTGAACGGGATGCTAAAAGTATTTCATGCGTTGCCAAATTGGCAAACCAAGAGGTGGTGTTTCCAGACATGAGTTGCGAGTTAAGCTAAAGACCCTGTTTCAAACATTCTACTTCTCTGCGCGTCCTGCCGCTGCGAAGGGTTGGATCCAGCAGATGCCGGGGGGAGAGGTACGAGGATTTTCACAACCGCTGCTTCGCAGGGGTTTGGACAGACGAACAGGCGTCATCCCTCTGAACAGACCAAATTCACGGTTAAAATGTTTGAAACTCGCAGTCGTACAAGTACCCATACCCCCATTATTAGAAAAGAACTCGCCGAATTTGGTCCTCCGAAATTTTGACTAGGACGGAATGCAAAAACGATGGTCATTTAAGGCACATGCATCAGTACTTAAAATATAAACCTCGCCACAAAACGTCTGGTAATCCATGATTCCGCAATGGATAATTTGATTCGACAGTGGCCGTGTTTATTCATTTATAATTAGATTTAACTCTCAGAAAAACGTTAAAAATAACAGCCAAACTGAGCCCGAAAATCGGAGCTCTTAGGATCATATCAAGGACTGAACACTTCCCCTACTCTACTTACGAAATTCGAGGACAGGAGTAGGAAATACCAGGGCAATGGGATCTTCTCTTGGGCGAGAGTTAGTCTACTCGATGAAGATGCTATAGACAGAGTTTGCGTCCGAACACGGAACTGAGTGCTTTTATCCAATATTTCCTTTTTGACTTGTATAAAATCGTGATTTTTTTCTTTTTCCCCAAACTAAGTATCGAGGTCAAACAAACGTCTTTCACAAATGTCTCTGTTCACGTTTCTATAAAACATGTTTTCAAACTATCGTTAGGACGATCGACAGACGATAGGCGCTGTATCGTGCAACATGGTGGGGGCAGGAGTTATTTATGTGATAACTGTTCGAAGAAGACGAAAACGACAAAATTCCTCTTTTTTTCGTCTTCAGGTGCAGACCTTCCAACCCTTTTGCTGCTGGAAACGAATCTTTGCATCCTTTCAGTGCATCACAATACAATGATTTATATCGTTTATTGTTTTTATTACAATTTATTTCTTTAAAAATGCATAAATACATCACAGCACAGTGCACTAATACATTTTTGGCCATTAGACTGTCAGTCTCGGCTACCTTGTTATACTGCACGCCATTTGTCTACAAACATTCGTACACTACACACTATTTCATGGAGTTTGGAAAATTATTAACGCCGAAAATGTGCAGGTGCCTTACACAAAGCATTGGAAAATTCGACGATAGTTGGCATACAATCTGCTTCCATGTTTCTTGCTTCATAATTTTCGTTTTGGGGGGGGGCTGGGGGGCTCTTCATACGTTCTATAGCAGAACATGCTGCTTAATACGCGTGGTATATTATCGCTGTTTAAATGCCTAAAAGCATCTATATCAAATCCATAAGTCACTGCTCTCTGCTGGCACTGATAGACTAAAGCTCTATCGGAGTCAAAAATATCTTCTACTGCTCTTGTCCGAACGAGACTTCCCCCTCCAAAGCTATACAATATATCTCTTTTCAATATATACTCATTAGGGAGGTTTTGCACTCCTTAGTGGGTAGCAATCGACTGCAACCTCCATCCTCTGCGCATGCGCAGATAGACATAAGTAGGAAGTGCACGCCATAGCGGACATCACTATCGATCTTATGCGCATGCACATGTGCATTAAAAGTGATGCAAAACTTGAACCATGAGCAGATCGATAGTGGTTTCGATGATGAAACTTTGGAGGGTGCAAAAACTCCGTATTGTTACCTTTCTTTCTTTCTTTCTTTTTCTTTCTCTCTCCCTCCCCTCTTTCTTTCTCTCTCCCTCCCCTCTTTCTTTCTCTCTCCCTCCCCTCTTTCTTTCTCTCTCCCTCCCTTTTTTCTTTCTTACGAACACTTAAGTCATGCAAGTGAAATCTGAAATTAGTGTAATTTTCTGTTTTAGGCAGAGGGCAAGGAATTATAAATACAGTGACGGGATTTCTGCGTTGGTCAGTTTGTTTTATTCTGATGGAATTACTCGTCAGTACACTTCATTTTCCTCGAGATCGAAAATTTTCTCCGTTTTGAACAGGTTTCACCATAATAATAACACCCAGCGAAGTAGCACAGTCCGTAAAGTGCTGGATTCACAATCGGGAGGTCCGGGTTCTCTCCCCAGGCCGGCCATCCTGACCGGAGTTTTCGTGGTTTCCCTCAGTCACAAGGCAAATACTGGAGTGGTTCCAAAATCCCACGAACTCCTCCAATAATATCCTATCTTCCAATTGATATTCAAGGCCAACAACCTTGTCTTAACCTAGAGACGCAGCCGGAAGGCTGATCCCCATAATCCACACGTTGATTTCGCCAGGATAGAATACACCTGGATCTAGGTGAGAAGTGTTGCGTGGTCAGTAGTGCCCATACGCTAATAATAATAATAATAATAATAATAATAATAATAATATAGTGGTAGTAGTTGCGCAAGATCAGGCATTGAGAATATAATAAAGCGGTTCTCAATTTCCCGAGATAAATGCGTTAGCCCCTAGCCTTGATCAGACAGACTTTTGCCGTCAATCGATTTTTCGGCATCAAGGATCCACAAAACAGGGATTGTAACTACAAGCCGTGTTGGAGGAAGTATTTAATATATATGGTAACAAACTTTATCCAGTTTTTCGTTACTATCCAGCTTCGCCCGACCATAAGTTTTCTGTCGACACCCCCCCCCCCGCATAATTACTCTTCCTGGTACACTGCGTAAGCAGTAGCGAGAAAGTCAAGTTGTTGAGATAAGTACTCATATAGTTTCTTACGCTTTTCATAAACAATTCGCATTGTAGCATCCGCTATTTATGTCGTTCGTCTGGAAAGTTGTGAATACTACTTTACTTCACTATAGCGTGATCTATGAAGAAAAGACAAGACAATTTCCTTGGTTTTATAAAATGTTCGAATTTTCCATGATTATTTTATTGAGGGCGATGTATCGGTTAAACGCGGCCAACGGGATTTACATGCTCCGTTTGCTCCAATTACAGATACAATTTTATTAAGGTCCACTTTTTCTTAGACAATTAAAATTGCCCAAATATAAAGTACCAGTGCTACATAATGGCAGTTTTTTTCATATATTCTTAATTTTTCGCATCCCTAATAGTTAATTGAATTATATCTTAGAATATTATAAATGGTATTATTTGGTCCCATTCACACATTTTCATTAGAATATTCCCGGAGCCGTTTTTAAGGAAATTTAGTGGGAGCGTTTCTGAAAATTCACCGTTTTGAGCTCATTTTCACAGAAAACTTGAATTTTGGGGAAACTTCATAAGAAATCATACGAAGCACATGTACTCACAGATGTAATATATAAAAACGTCCATAATGTATATTTTAGCTACTAGAGAAATGTATAAAATTAAATTTTTAACTTTTTGAAAAATATAAAAATAAAAGTTGGTGTCTTCTTCGAGAAGAAAGGGTTTGAGTGTTTCCTAAAATTTCCGAAAATGCACAATTTTGAGGTAATTTTCGTATAAAATGTTAGTGTTCCAGAAACATAAGGAATCGTGTAAAGCGTGAAGCCCTTGTATTCTCAAATATATCAAAGTATACAACGTGCTCGTAATGTAATATAAACGAAGTGAGTCTTTTAAACTAGAGGTACTAAAGCAGTACTCTTTATCGCATGAAAATAGTTACCTAATATTAAAATATTCTTTCTGCCATACTAAAAACTGTTATAACTTTCTTATTCAAACGATTCGCCTGTAGTGCTTATCTGAATTTGGCAGAAATAGTTGTAATTTCTTACTTTAAGAAACCTAATGAACATGAATAGTTACAGTATTTTTATGACAAGTTACAGTGTTTACAAGACATACTAAGAAAGGCAAGAATAATTTCACACAAGCCTACCTCTATTACATTTGAAGTTAGCTTTCAATTTTTTAATAACATCATATTAAAACTTATTAAAGTGTAGGGATTGTTTGTAATTTAAAATTTATTACCTTCTATTTCCTTACATGAAAATATTATCTACATCATACGATCGAATTCAGATGAATTCGAAAAATTTTGAATCCTCTGTGTTGCTATTTTCCGAACCCACAACGTCTGAAACAAAGCGCGCGAAATTCAAATTAACAATCCCGAACTTTTGTCTCAAACTCTCGAACAATTTCGAAAATGCAGAGTGCGCCGAAAACAGGACACTCATCCCTATCTTTACAGGTTTTATTTATTTATTTTTTAAATTCTAAGATAAAATCGAAAGACAGAATTTGAAGCCGTTTCTGAGAAAAATGTTTACAATTGTTTTAAAAGCGCCTAAGATTCCGTAAAAATACTCATAGATTCGAAATATTGACCGTGACCTCTTTTCAAGACATGATTTTGATGGACACATTCAGTAAGACAAAAATTATCTTCAAAATTGTAGTTGTGGGAAGACGCCGGAAACATTTTGCAATTGTTGAGATCTGTGCCATTCTCTCAAACGCCTCACACTATCCATCAATAAAAATTAATCAAAAACGATATAGCCAAAGTACCGTCCAAAATAAAAATACCAGTTTCAAATTCAAGGTGCCACGACAGCCAGATATATTGGGAAATATCAGTTTTGGAGATAAACTGCTGAACCGCTAGCGTTGTTCACAAACGGAGACACGTTTTGCCGTCATTTGATATTTCGATTTCAAGGTCCCACGAAACATGGATTCTGCCTACACCACGTGTTAGAGATTTCATTTCTTCTAAATTTAGTAACTGGGTTTATCCACTATCCCACGAGCTCTCACTCAGCAAGCTGGGTTTTTCTGCCGAAAATTCGCCCTTTTCCCCCGTAGCATTACATAATTTTCTCCTCTTAAGTATCTTCTTAACCCTTACACTGTTTGGAGTCTTTGTGGATCCCAGGGGCAAATAAATTCATGAAATCACCGAAATTTTTTTCATATTTTCGTTTCAGATACGTTATTTATGTCTGGTTTCCCATGTGTTGTAAACTTTCCAATATTTAAAGTTGTTTTTTTTGTGTGTGTGTTTTTATGCGGTTGAAGATAGAAATGCCACAATAGATTACAAAAGAAAACATTTAAACGTCAGTTTCAGTTTTGTATTATTGCATTGCGGGTTTTGAGTGATCATTTAATATACTTGTCTCTTGGCGTTTGGTAGCGCTTTTTCAAAGAATATGCTGGTATGACAGACATGTATAGGTAAAAGAACATACTAGAGTACTTTTCTGGATACGTCATTCTATGTCATTTAGTACGATATAGTAAATTAAGCAAATAAATACCATCACATTATCAATTAATAATTTCAAGTGACTTCCGTGCATCAATGCAAAGTATTGAGTAAAACGTGTAGGGTAAAAAACCAGTCCACGTAAGTATTCAATAAATACACGAAGGGTCACAGGCGAAAAAAGGTGCCACAACAGCACATACGTTCGCTCATTTCTATTATCACTATATAATTTCAGAAATCTCGCTCGTTCAATCTCTCACTAGTTCCCTCTCGTTTGCGATCGCACTCTTTTCCTCGTTTGCGATCGCACTCTTTTCCTCGTTTGCGATCGCGCTCTTTTCCTCGTTTGCGATCGCGCTCTTTTCCCGTCCGCGATCGCTCTCGTCTGCGCTCTCTGTTTACTCCCGTGCTGCTGGTGGAGACTCCAGGAGGGAATTGACTCCAAGAGGGAATTGACTCCAAGAGGGAATTGACTCCAGGAGGGAATTGACTCCAGGAGGGAATTGACTCCAGGAGGGAGGCAATCTCGCAAGTAAAATGTGTCAGAGCTGAATCTCGCATTCCAGCGCCAGCTTTTGTGGTAAAACATGTTTTTTAAGGTGGACCACTCATTTTACTATTTCATAATGTGTCCTGAAATGTAGCTAATCATATATTCCTGGATTTTTATTTATCATTATTTCGTGATGAAAAAGGCATTTGTCTACCATCTGCATCTCATTAGAATTTGTTTCTTTTACTTTCAGAATCAACTTCCACTTTGATGATAATCCATACTTTCAAAATGATATTTTGACAAAGGAATTCCATTTGGGCTCATCTGGTAAGTAATCTTTTTGAGGAACGTAAGTGCTTGATGCGAATTTTAATATTTGACACGAATAACTTAGTATTGTGTACACTAGAGTCCTGCACGCGACGATTTTGCTAGGGTGCCGCGAAAGTTGACTCAAAATCCGCTAATGTTTGGCCAATGGGACAGTGTTTTGTTCTCCTCGGTACACAGAGTTAAATTCGCTTGACTTCGAAATCGAGCATATGATGCCCGCTACGAGTGACTCCACCGATTAAGTCACGATGTCCGGTGTGGAACGTGAAGACAGAAACGCCGTGAGATTGAAATTACAGAAACCAAGAAAATAAATGTGAAAAATTGCCGATATTTTAAATAGAATTTAATAAGGGCCGATATTTTAAATATCGATGTGTTGCACTAGATGTTTTCACAAAGTCAGTTTTGTTTATGAGTGAAAAACGTACCATAGTTCGTAAAACTTGATACATGTTAATAATGTAATAATTAATTACACAGTTCGAAAAGGCAAACTTTCTTTGTATTCTACCTACGTCGAGCATATTTTTCCCATAGAGATGCCAATGCCCTGGTACTTCTTTCGCCTTTCTTGGTATTTCGTAAGTGGAGAAGCTGTCAATATACGGCGTACGACCTCCCCCTACGTATTACTTCCTTCGACGGCGAACTCAGGGAGCTCTAATGACTCTGAGCGCTCAGGTTTTCATATTTAGTCATGTTCAGTTTTGTATATGTTTGAGGTTATCAAGTGATTTTTAAAAAGTGTTAAAATGCATCGAGGCTTTAATTTTGAACATCCGTGTTATGTTCTCTAAGTTCATTTCAAACGCGAAGGCTTCAGGGCCGTTACTCAAGCCCATGAATCAATCATCCGACCACGAACGAGCACTGAATTGTACGCCTTGCAGCGCTCTTGTGTACACTGTAGAATTCAGTTCTTTGTCATAAGTTTAAATATTATACTGTTAAGTTAAGAGAAATTTGTTTGCTCATTTGGTGGGCATTTTCATGGACGAAAATAATTTCATGATATAAAAATTAGCTACCTGGTAACTATATGGTTTGTTGCATACAAGCTACTTTGTGAAACATAATTAGTTGTCAGTGTGTGTGTTAAATTGCTTGTTCTTATTTTCATGATTTATATCAGTATATAATCACAGGTGAAAGCAATTGCCAATTGCATTTGGCCAGTTAGAGCAATACCCGAAAATGAGATATTTCTTACCGTGCCTTATTACATATGTGGAAAAAATTGAAAGAAAGAATTTGGAGCCGATTTTTAGAAAACAAATTGCGTGAATTTAAAACGAACATTACGCGAAAACTTCTAGTTTTTAAAAAAAAAATCTACGTGACGTTTTTTAAGGAGCTAATTTTGTACAACGGACTTAGAGACAAAAATCCCCGTTTTCAGTTTTGAAGTTAAATTTTTTTTTCATTTTTCGAAAAATCAGAAATGTAAACAAAAATGAGATTTGCACTACTATCTTAAAGTCTTTTGCACTATTCAATAACAAAATTTAATCTAAAAATTTGGACCGGTTTTTTAAATTTTTGAAAATGTCCCAGGGGCTTCATGTAAAGTACCCCCTAAATAAAAATATCGGTTTCTAATTCCAGGGGACGCGACATTAGCTAGAATGGTTGAGGGATGTCCATTTTGGAGAAAATCGGCTGAATGTCTTAGCCACTAGTGGTGTGCACAGATGCATACGAATTTTTGTGTTGAAAATTCGCCATTTTCGGGCGCATTATTACAATACTTTCTTTTCTTACGTTAGTACGTGCGAGATAGTAATAATCAGCTATTTAAAATGGGTCATATATAATTTTTTTTGAAAAATAAAAAGATATTAGTTTTTGCTTAGTTTGTGATTGAAAGGTATGCAATTTTTAAAAAATGTCCGCGGTAGCTGATTTGCATTTCGTGCCCGGAAGTAGCATTAAAACTTAGTTTTCTCGAAGATTATTCTTTTCGGTAAAACTGGATATGCCATTCTTCATTAAAGCTTGTCTTGTCATGGAAGCTTCTATATATCTTGTATTTGCAAACATATTTTTCAAAACGTGCTTTCATATCCAGGAATACTAATATAATTTTAAATGTTAAAATTTCTATAACCGCCACATTGTTTGGGATACCACTTTTCAGCCCAGTTATTGTGAGTGAGTAGGTTTGTATGAAGTATTTTGCAATATTTTCAGTTTCTATTATGGAAGTTCTGATTATTATTATGTGGAAAAAATTAGGCAACCTTATGCAATGGAGGGAAAAAGGAAAGCGGGGAAGAGAGAGTGGGGAGAGAGGACATTCAGTGAATCCCAGAAAAAGACCAGAAATATATCTACATCAAGTTTCTTTGGTAGCGAACAGAAAGGGATGGTTCAAGTTAATTGACAAACGTTTACATCAATTTGAAGTTCTAAATTCAGAATTTAGGAAGCAGTTCATAAGTACTTCTACATGTCTAGAAGATAGGTGTTGCAGTGATCATGACAGTTACAAATTCTTGGAGAGAATGAAATGTTAATGAAAACTTTTGACTGAAGACCATCTGACAACTGTGTGCCCATAAATTTTATGATCAAGAGAAGAGACGGGAAAGGTACAGTTTAATGTGCTGTCATAAAACATTTAGTTTTCCTAAAAGTATTTGACAAATGTGCTTATTATCCTAGGCACATGTAGAGTTATCAACATAATTTTAATATTTTTGAAGGAAATTCAAACACATCAAACAATGGACATAAAAACTATTTTTGCCTGGATGAGAAAATGAATGATCCAATAGTTCTAAGGAAATTGCGTTTGCACAGTAATGGGTATACTAATGAACTGGCTTTTTCCTCGTAGAAATATTGTGCAGACAATTCAGATACTTTTTCCTTTTGTTGGGCCAACACTTGCTTTCCGAACTGAGTGTATGTTTTGGCGTTGAAAAAAAAATATAAGAAAGACAATGTTATAAAGATGGATAACTAAAGAGATTTTGAGACTGGTACAAAGCTGCAGTGATGGACAGAACTAGGTGTGTACTATTGGAAAATGTATGTAAAATCGGTAATCAAGTCACCTAGCCAGTGAGTGGAATTTAAAATTTTCTGCATCAAAGAGGGTGTCAGTGAAAATGACAAAACTGAATATGTCGTGGTTGAGGTCTTGGTGAATTTAAAGACAAGTACTGCTTGGATTCTTTCCAAGCTTTGTAGAGGGCTTTCAGGTATCTACCTCAACCTTGCCAAACTTCTGAATACAATATGTGTGAAACCAGAGAAACCGAATGGTGTTAATAATCTGCTAAGAAAGCACTTCAGGAAATGGAGGATATTGGAAGGGATACAAATTTATAATGTTGATCTGACCCACTGCATTAAAGTACCCTATTTGGATGCAGAAGATGAGGATGAGCCAATACTCTCTGCAAGTACTAAAAATAATGAATGCACTGAAGGCTTAATTATTTAAGAGGAATCTAAGTAGAAATCAATTTGTCAATCAATCGATTTTGAAAAAACATTTTCAGTAATATAACTCTTCCCTATTGAGTAAAATATTTTCAATGTAGGCAATGTCAAATAAACCTTGAACATTGAAAGCTTTATTTGAAGTTTTTGGTGGTACCAAAAAACAAAAATCATTCCCAATTTTCTTTCTAAACTACTTAAATCTAAGTGTTACAGAACAAACCTTATAATTCTACATTTAATATGAAAACTACTCAATTACTATCATAAGATTTTCGTCTTCTTAAATATGCAGAATTGATAGATTTTGTTTAAGGGAGTATGATGATAAAATTGAACAAACACACCCAATTAGAACTCTTTGAACAATTCAAAAACTCGCTGGAGGATAAAAAATGCTAAAGTTAAATAGCCCCTCTGGTATGTTATTTTTTGACCCAGACAACACTGCAATGTTCATTTACCCCAAATCCAATCCCAACTGAATTTAACAAAAATGTTGATACCGTGACCAATTCTAGCCTAAAAGCTAAAATTTGTGTGGAGGATTATATTTATGATGGTGTCTAATGAATATTACAATATATAGAAATATATTTTTGTTTTGGCTTCATACCATTTTTTATTTTTTTATTTTTATTTTATTCACAGTTCATAGTCTGTGTATGTCTGTTACTCTGCATGCACACGACTCATTTAAGTTGCAGAAAAATACCCTTATTTCTTCAGTAACTGGCACAAAAGGTTTTCCTTCTTGGGTATATACAAATTAGTATGGAAATAAATATATTAGAAAGTAATATAACTTACCAAATTGTCCGTGAAAAAATATTTGGAATAGTAAATTTGGTGTTTGGCTGCCAAGGTCCTTGATGTACTGACCTTGATGCACCACCTTCTTGAAAATCAGCAATTGGTGACACAAATAAGTTTTATTACAGTTATGGCCTTGTGATAAAACAATTGCTGTTCGACGAACGATGAAGGTCTAGAACGAAATGTGTCGACATCTGCTTTTGAAATATTTTTTAGTTAGCTTCCAATAAGAACGAAAATAAATTACGAGGCCACTGTCGCAGAAACACAAACTGTAACTTGCAAATAAACTCACCGATCAGTGAAACTCCATTGAAAAAATAACAAAACATGCCAAAAATACCAGGAACTTAAGTCCTTCCACTTTGCAAAGCACTTTTTTTTTGTATCATGCTAGCAAAGTATGTAACGGCATTGTAAGGGGGCGGTGGATTTTATACTAACCACCAGATTTAAACTAGCACCCAACAACAACAAAACTACAAAATGCTACATTTTCCGCTTTTGCGATGATTGTATTATTTTAAAAATCATATTTAACCGTAAAAGTGAACTGTTATAAATCTTGTTAGAAACTCAAACTATCGCAAAGTGATGTGCTAGAAGATCGCAGAGCATGCAATGATGTAACAGTCTTTATAATCGGCGCTAAACGGTTACTGTCAAGAAAAGAAAATGTTATGCCATCTAACAGATCGCAGATGAAGTAACCATTGCCTAAATAAAAGCGGGAGAAATTTTGATAATGTCCATTTAAGTAACCACTGATTACTCCTCCAAAATCCGATTTTATTATTAAACACTTAAACTCACGAAAGCCCTCAGGATAAGGTTATATTTCCAATAAAGTCCTCCAAAAATTAAGTGTAGAATCATAACAGCAGTAACAAATGTTTAATGCGCGTTTGAGACTCGAATATTTTCTGCTGGCTTGGATGAACAATTATTCTTCCTTTTATCAAACTTTGGAATGAACTTTCTAAGCCTTAAATATATCGACCGGTTAGTCTTCTTCCATCCTCATTAAAAGTATTTGTAAAATTGATTCATAACAGAGTATCTGAACACAATAAACACTATCCCAGATTGAATATCCTAGTCTAAATTCAAATACCCTACAACTTCTCCACTGCACTGAACAAATAGCAACTGGAATTTGTAGAAAGGAACACATTATAGCCCTATTCTTGATTGCAGTCCAGGCGTTTGATAATGGTAACGACTTATTTAAATTCTTAGATAGGGCTACTGCCGCTTCTGCAGAATATAACATGCAAATTTCTTAGCGTTGGAAATTTCTAGTAAAAATACTCTCTATCAGATCCCCACCCCATTTTAGCAGGAGTAACCCAACTAGTTTTATATCCCTCAACTAGTTTTTTTTTAAATCTCGACGAAGGTTGCCTTTTATGTTTCGGGATTTGGCAACCCTGGTGTTGCAATCTGGCAACTGACCGCTCTATCGTAAAGTTAATGTTTTGAGGTTATACGTCCTCAGAAAGTTTTGACATACGAGCGCTATTTGTGTTGTTTACAGTAACTTAAAAGGATTCATTTTGGCCCAAAAATGGAATTTAATCTTGAACATTTTCGTGCGATTCTTTTTTACAACTTCCGACATGGATTAACTCAGCAACAGTGCATGGATGAACTTAATTCAATTTTTGGCGACGAAGCTCCAGTGTTTATCGATGGTATGGTGAATTCAATCGTGGTCGTAGTTCACTCCAAAACGAATTTCGCGAAGGTCGTCCAAAATCAGTTGTTCCGAAAACCATTGATGCTGTGCGTGAACTGATATTGCAAGATCATGTGACCTATCGTGAGATTGAGACAACCTTAGGCATTAGTGAGACCAGCATACATTCAATATTGCATGAACACTCGACTGTCAAAAAAATGTGTTCGAGTTGGATCCCACACAATTTGCCAATCGCTCAAAAAAGGGCTCGTGTCGATTGGTCGAAATGCTAAAAAAAAATACGATCGCGGTGCTCGAAACACGTCTATGACATCGTGACAGGTGATGGATCGTGGATTTACGCGTATGAGCTCGAAAGTAATCAGCAGTGGATTGTATGGGTGTTTCAAGATGAGCAAAATCCAACAAAGTTGTTCGCGCACGAAGCACTTCCAAACAGATGTTCGCCTGTTTTCCGAAGAAACTGGAAATGTCGCAACCGTACCACTAGAACAACGCATGACAGTCAATTCGGCGGCGGCGATGGTGAAACGGTTAGCGTACTGGACTTTTGTACCCAAGTTGGCGGGTTCAAACCCGATCGAAGCAGTGGATTTTTAAGGGCGAAAAAATCCTTCGTACGCCTTCCTTCGGAGGGGAAGTAAAGCCGGCTGTCCCATGTTCGTAGATTTACTTGCATGTAAAAGACCCTCAAGCCTAAATGACGCCTCTGAGCTAAATTCAAAATCGCCTGTTTCTCGCCCAAGAAATACCTTCTTTCTCTTCTAGATGAAAGGAGTGTAACGAAATTTGCGTGGTCAGACGGAAGAGCGGGCCTGATGGCCCGAGTCTCGCCACGTAAAATAAGGCTCAATCAATCAATCAATTCTGAGTGATACATAACGGTTTGTTTGCCAGCGGTCTTCCAAGAAATTAGGAAAACCAACGAAGACGGATCACTCTACACCACGACAATGCGAGCTGTCATACTTGGGTCAAACAACTGCATTTTTAAGCACCCAAAACATCGATTGTATGAGTCATCCGCCGTATAGTCGTGCCCGCCGACTTAGCACCGAATGACTTCTTTTTATTCCCGTTCGTAAAAAAACAAACTGAGAGGTCAACGTTTTTCGACAGCTGAAGAAGCGGTTGCTGCATTGAGAATGCATGGTTTGGAGATACCTCGGAGTGGAAAAAGTGATTCGACAATTGGTTCAAACGCATGCAAAAGTGTGTAGATCTTCATGGGGAATATTTTGAAAAACAATAAAATTATTTTCGATGATTAAAATTTGTTTTTGTTCTCTAATCCTGAAATATAAAAGGCAACCCTCATATTTGCTGATGACACAGTACTATTACCTTGGATACTGATTTGCAATTAGCCTATTAATCTTTGCAGGAAGCGCTTTTAAAATACAGGCAATAGGCTCAAAATTGAGAATAAATATAAATGATAAAAAGTCGCCGACAAAAAAATTTCCCTCTTTAACCCTTAGACACTGTTAGAGTTTCTGCTTTTCCTGTTTATTTTATTTTTATTTTTTGACCCTAGGGGGAAAATGTTTTGCAACATCCTGAAAATTATTCACATGAACTTCTTTTAAAAATGCTACTTATGACCAGTTTTACATATGTTGTTATCTTTTCAGGTTCCTCAGTTTTTCTTTGTGGGAATGATTTAATTTTTTGTGTGTTTGGAATAAAAAATGCCACATTTGACATTAAATTACAAGAAAAAATACAAAAACGTGTTCATTATCATTTTGTAATATTATTTTGCGGTTTCTGAGTGATACTTTTGTCCATTTGTCTTTGATTTGGTAGCCCTGTTTGAAACATTATCATGCTAGTATGATAGACGCCTATGTATAGTAATGAGGTGCTAGAATTTTTGAGGTGTTCAGGAATACATGCTAGAATTTTCTTCTGGAATTTTTTTTTAATATTTAGTGCAATATAGTAAAGAAAGCATAGGTTTCTCAGTTAATAATTCCAAATAACATTCCTACATGAAATACTTGTAAATTATTGCGTGAAACATTTGGGGTCAAAAGAGACTCCAAATAGTCCGTGTAAATTTTTGAGAAACAGAGTCGAAGTGTTAACTTTCCAAATTTCCTTTGGTGTTGACAATCAATGACAAAATTATACTTGGGACTTGAAAGTATGTGCCTGGGTAGTATTTAGGACTTCCTGTACAAATGTAATGGGGTTAAGAATATAAAAGCTATCGCAAACAAATGCAAAAGTATCAAAACTTCATCTTCTAATAAATTTTAAATCATCCCTGAGAATTGATTGTTGATTTCTTATATTTAAATTGATTAAACACTTCTCATGAACTTATGCACGTTTCATCTGGTTTAATGCAGCAGTAGGTAACGTGTTTACGAGGAGTGTATAATCGGGAAGTTGAGGTCTGTGGTTAGTAAGAAAATAGCCAATGACTTAAATGTAGTGTCATAGAATGTTAATATTAAAATACTCTTTCTAAGTTCGTAGTTGCTACTCTCGTGCAAATGTTCCAAATTCAACCTTGGCGTTTTACTACAAACCCCTCGCAGAGTAAGTTTTCCCAAGGATAAACAGATACCTCTGATTGTTTTCCTTTTCCTCCTCCCCCAAACTTAAATTTAATACTAATGCCTCATCATATTACATCTACCAAAAATTCAATAAAACAACTTTCTTCATAAATTTCATTTTCTTAAGAAACGTTCCTCGTGCACTTTAAACTTAAGTGTCTAACCAAGGAGACGAGATTACTTTTTTCTCAAAACTTGTTTTAATGGAAATGACTAGTTCTGTATATACAAACACCAGACTGTACCAAAAGAAGTTCCTGGTAAAGAAATTTTGGTGAATTTTCCTGACTACCTATATTACAACAGCAGTAAGTACAAACCTTTCGAGAAGGCTCCAAGCCCACGAGTCCTTCATGTAAATGTAGATAGCACATTTTCATGAGAAATGTGCTATTATAGAACAATAAATTGGAATATAAAAGAAATATTGCAAAAATGCGAAAATGAATTGAAAACAGGAAAGTTGCAAAATTTGAGTCTTGAAATTTAAGTAAGCGAACTTCAGTTTTTACGTAAAGACTTTAAAAAAGCAAATTTGTTATTTTTATTGTCTATGTTGATGGAACAAAAAGATAATTTGTTGGGGAGGGAGGAAGCTATCAGGACTCGGATATTGGAGGTTAGTAAATAGGAAATGATTTATTAAATTATTTTTTCTGGCGAATATCAATGTTTGCAATATTTTTACTACATTACACTAGTACTTATATTTGAGCTGCTTCATAGGTTTTATGTAATCATTTGTTAATATGGTATTTATTCATTTCAGTTTTTAAATGTCTCATTTTCAGGTGATCCAGCCTCTCAGAGTACACCTATACGATGGAAGGAAGGGAATGATATAACAAAAAAAGCTAAGGATAAGAATATGGGTAAAGGCAGAAAGAGGGTGATTGAACAAAAATCATTTTTCAATTGGTTTACTGATCATGGTGATCCATCTGCTGATGATATTGCAGAGGTAGTATTATTTATTTTTTACTATTAAATGATTTTGTGTTGAAATAAGTGTTAATTTTTTACTCCGGTTATTCCAGGTGATTAAAGATGACATGTGGCCCAATCCTCTACAGTACTATCTGGTGCCTGATTTTGAGGTAGAAAATGGTGTTGAAGGAGAAGATGAAGCAACGTAAGTCTTGAATATCTTCTTTACCCTTCATTAGGCAAACGTGAGTCTAGGGGACCCATTCAGCCCTACTAATAAAATTATGGTGCTTCTTCATTAAAACACGCTTATTCCAGGAATAGTTACTGCCAGCGTAATGATAGCTGCTAAACAGTAGTGTAATATGGAATCTATGCTTAGCAAAGTTGCTTCTTACACCATTGTTGACATATTTACTTTATTCTTTGATGCCTGTGTAAGGACTCGGCAGAAACTTCACATTTGATGTTTGAACAGAATATTTCACATTTTTTCCTGAATTGTGTGATTGCGGTGATAGATAGTGGACTCATATTGATGAACGAATTGTTTTTGTATTACGATTGTTTTGAATACTAGTATCCATTTAAAAAACATAATGACCAAAAGTGCATGTGCAAGTTCAGGATAGATATGTGATGACAGAAAGATCACAGTTTAGAAATGAAATATGATGAATATCATGAAAAAAAAAGACTAATACTGTGAAATAAACAGTGATAAGTAAGTTTTAAAGACAAGATTTTTTACAAGATTAGCAATATTTGAAAAAGAATCAGTTTCGTTTCTGAGTTATAGAAAACGTATTTGCATCGGTACACAAATAGCAAGTATGATTTTTCTACATTGCTAACAAAATAGTAACTTGCCCTTACTTCTCTTACCAATACAAACAAAAGGAGAGTTCAACAAAACGTGTGCATAGTGAAGCTACATTTACGTCCACAAGCAAAACAAAGGGCCATCTCAGCATTTGCTCAATTGATCAGGGACATGGGACAAAAACCTAATCGAGATGGGGGTCATTGGCACGGAAGCTGAAGTACATTATTTGTTACAAACATATTAAATCTTTTTAAAAAATTAAACAATACAAATGTAAACTAATTCAATATATATATCACTGTTTTGTTAAAATAAACATTAGTTTTCTTTTTGATAATCAGTATAGTCTCTAATTGTGTAGAAAGTTATGCCGCAGAAAAGATTTTACTTTTAACTTAAATTTATGAACCGACTTAAATTGTTTAATGTCATCTGGCAATACGTTGTAAAGTAACTATATGTATTGTATGTGGATTTCTGATGGTGAGCTGTTGATACAGACACTTGATGAATGTGATTTTTACGACGTGTGTTGTAATTATAAATATCAGTATTACATGAATACGGTTCCCACTGTCAAGTGAGTCACTTTTGACAAATATTTCAGATTCTTAAATATATAGGCAAGGCAGTGGTAGGATTCTAAGCTCAATGAAGAGAGGCTTGCAAGGGTAACACGGATGGCATTTATTATTATTCGAATAATTTTATTTTGCAATTTAAAGGTTTGAGTGCTACATGATGAGTTTCCCCAGAATTCTATACCATATCTCAGGCGGGAATGTAAATTTGCAAAATAACACGCAATGAGTTGCATGAAGATTGACAGAGTTTGATAGAATTCTGAATGCGTAAGATAATTAACTTAATTTGGTGTTTAATTTCGTTATATGTACATTCCATTTGAGGTTTGACTGAATTGACAGACCTAAAAATTTTGTTACCTCATCTAATTGCATATTACTCATTTTCAATAAAGCATGCACTTGCTGATTTGAAAGGCAAAAATGCATTGAAACGGTTTTTCCTTCATTAACTATTAATTTGTTATTAAAAAAACAATTTGAAACTTCTACTATTTATTGTTTCTTTTTGCAAAGAACATTCGTGTCATCGGCAAACAGAACTGTTCTACTGTTTTTAATAGAGCCTTCATGAACCCCATATTCAATTGGTAAAGAATTGGAAAGATAAGTAATAATGTCCTTTCATGCCAGTTCGAAATTTCTACTCTTTGATTGATTTTCCAATGGGTGCATTTCGGTCTATTGATGAAGCTACTTCTTTAAGATAAGAAAAATAGCACTTTCCCTAGATTTTGATTTTGTAAATTTTTCTCATGTTTCACTCTCGCTGAAACTGCTTTGTTTTTCCTGAGAAAAGTTTCCATTTCCATATAGAAAAGCCTCTCTAATATTTTAGAGAAACCTGACATAAGAGAAATTTGTCAGTAATTTTGAATTTCATTTTTGCTCCCTTTTTTGAAAAGTGGCTACTTGCTATATTGTAAGTAAACACATTGTTTTCAAGTAGTCAACATGTCAATGGAATTATGGGGTTCTAAAAAGATGATCTTTTTCAATGGGGAATGTGGAATCTCTTAAAGTATGTTTAAATCTTCCCTCAAATTCTTTGTTTTGTTTCTACAGCTTCAAATATAGGTTATATCAATGTTGACTATATGCTTCTAGAACAAAACCTTAATAGAGGAATGTTACTCTTTGCATGTCACCTGTGTATGAATTGGTAGTAATTATGATTTCTATTTTTCATCATTTATATTTAAATCACCTACCATGAAATTTTTTATTATATGCGGATGATCTTAAATTATTTATGCTTATTAAAGCAAAATCTGTTTAAAAACTTCAGGAAAATATAGATTTGATTACACAATGGCGCAATGAATTGTTGAGCCTAAAATATTGATAAATGTAAAGTTATGCATTACACAGTCTCTTGATCCACATTGTCCTTTGAATACACTATGTAACAAAATTTGATAATATTTTTTTAATCTTATGTTTATCATTTGTAGATCTGTTTTTTTCCACAATTTGTTAATACTAATTATGAATATGAAAGTAGTTTTTCTATAATGACAATATTTTGGATGTAATTAACAATCTTCAAATTTTCTTAGAAACTACTAAGATAACTAGTTTATGGAATTTGACAAGTAGAAAAATTAACTTGTGACTAATTCATATATGTTAATTGCAACTATGCTGAATACATGTAATGGTGTAAATCAAAAATGTATATCAGATCGACTTTACCTCTTGTGTGATTTGACATCTCCTAAATTTAATCTAAAGAAATTTATATGAGAAAACAATAGTGTGTTTTCACTGAGATTCTACATCTAAGCAAAGCACTTCGTAGCAAATTCTGTCTGTTGATTATAATTCTGACTTTTTCTGTTTCCCAAAAAGAACTTGTACTACATTTCTGAATGCAACCCAAACAATACATTCATGAAGGGACATTGCATCTCAAAGTTCTGCAGGTTGTAATAGTAGCAGTTCCGGTAAAAATTCCACCTATTACTTATGCTTTCAATAACTTGGAGAAAGTTTGTTGCAAAAATTGAGGCTCAAGGCCGCAGTGTTGCTATCCAATACTTTGATAAATTGTTTAACAAGCCCAAGTTAAATATGAAGTAGTAACAGAATCTTCTCTCTGGGCAACTGGGTCTCATTTGAAACGTGTGCGCCTGGCACAAATTCTGTACTTGTTGGCGTTTCTTTTCTATCATTTTTTTATCATGTGCCCTGCTGATCCATAAGCAGAGGAAACAATAATATTTGTTTTATCCGCCTTAAAACACAAGAAACAAAACGGACGTAATACTGTACCCACAAATGTTCCAATTCACTCTGCATCTTTCACCACCACCCAGTCCTCTCTTACCCCCACCAGTTCCTTCTCCTACTCCCACACCTACCCCCAGACCTCTTTTACCTACGCCAGTTCCTACTCCTATACCTCTCCTGCCCACTCCACTCCTTCCGACCACCTCCTCACCTTTCTTCTCCTCTTCAGCCCCTTCACCTACTTCCACACTTCCTACTCCCCCGTCCAATCCGTACATATAACTGCCGCTGCAACTGAAAACCTACACCTGTGTATAACCTGTAGCATCAAACATCGGCAGAAAAGCAGACAATACACAAAAATAAAAACTATTCTCATATTCTTCACCAAAATGTACAGTCACTTAAAAATAACCTCACTGATATAGAAATATTACTTGAGGAGAAACTCAACCACATTTCAGTATTGTGCTTCACAGAACACAGGCTAACTAAAGAACAATTAGATAACTCATATATACCAGGTTTCTCTAGCCAGCAGCTCACGAAATATTAACAACACACTTCATGCATATGGTGGGACATGCATTTTTATTAAAAATACTATTAGTTTTGTACCCTACACAAATCACACTCATCTTGTAATACAGAAAGACTTTGAAATATCCATCACTGACTTTAAAACAACAATAAAAACATGGGTCTTATGCTCATATCGCAGCCCTCCTGGAAATTTCAAACCCTTTTTAAAAAATCTGGAAGTTCAAAAACGCAGACAGTATAAAACTATTCTTTGTGGTGACTTCAATATAAATTGCCTCACACAATCCAGTAATGAAAATCTATTTAAAGACCTACTAAAATCATACAATTTACAAACAACCATAAATACACCAACACGAATATCCAAAAATAGTAGCACTGCTATAGATCAAATAATAATAGATGGAAATAACCATTGTTTTTCTGTTGCTCCATTTAATACAGGTTTCAGTGACCACACTGCCTAGATTCTAACACTTCAAACAGAAACAAAAACAGTGGAATAGAAAACTTACAAAGAAATCCGTAACTATTCCCAAGGAAACACAATAAAATTTCAGAACTTACTCTGATTCGAAAACTGGAATGAAGTATATAAGGCAACTGATACAAATGATAAGTTTAACTCATTCATAAATATATACTTAAGACATTTCAATGCCATTTTCCCTCAAAAACTTAGAGAGATCCAAAATAAGAAAACTAAATCATGAATTACCACAAGCATCGAAGTGTCATGTGAAAGAAAATGCAACATGTATAAAATACTAGCAAATAACAAATGTAACTCAAACTGCATTTCATATTACAAGACATATAATTCGATCCTAAAAAAAAGTAATCAAACCAGCAAAAATTATAACAAATGATTAGTACATTGCAAATGCACGTTATAAATCAAAAGCTATGTGGGACATTATTAAAAACTACAGCACAACTAATAATAACAGAAAAATACAGAGCTCCACTACAAAAACGAAACTGTACAAAACCCACAAGAAATAGCTGATATATTCAATGAATACTTTTCACAAGTTAGTTAAAAGTTAATCTCTCAACACTCTCTAAACAATAAAACACACCAACCAAACACTAATATTACACAAATTGTAAATTCCATATTTTCTTATGAAACCACCCCCTCTGAAATTTTTAAAATCATTGGACAAATGGAGAATAAATTCTCAGCAGGCATGGACAACATTCCAGATTTTCTTATTAAACACAGTGCTCCATGTATAGTGCAACCACTCTCTCACATCTGCAATTACTCTCAAAAATGAGGCATATTCCCATATATATATATATATATATATTGAAAACAGCAAAAATTAAACCATTCCTTAAAAAGGGCAATAGTTATGATCCAATGAACTGCAGATCTATCTCCCTGTTACCAGGATTTTCAAAAATTCTGGAAAGGCTTTTCAATGATAGACTCAAACAGTTTCTCAATGCAAATAATGTCCTTACAAATGCACAACATGGCTTCAGGAGTAATAGATCCACAGACACAGCCATCTTCTCTTTTTTAAATGACATACTTGTTGCACTAAATCAGAAGGAAATTCCCATTGGCCTTTTCTTAGATTTGTCAAAAGCCTTTGACATCATTGACCATCATATACTTTTAAGAAAACTAGAAATGCTAGGGATTCGAGGCATTGCAGGCCAATGGATCAAATCATATTTATCAAACCGTAGCCATATAGTTGCCCTCCAGCACACTAAAAAAAAACAACGAAATCTCCATACTACTCCTGCCCTCAAATAATAAATTGTGGAGTCCCGCAAAGATCCATCCTTGGGCCAATACTATTCCTTATACATATAAATGACATGCCTTTGGCTTTAAGGAACAACAAAATAATTTTGTTTGCATATGACACAAACAATCCTCAAAGCAAAAACACAACAATCATTAGAAAAAGAAACTCACAAAACTTTGCAAGCACTAGTAAAATGGTTTCAAGACAACAAACTCATCATAAACACCAGCAAGACAGTCTCTCTAAATTTCATAAATCCCCGATCTAAAGAAAAACTCTCATGCATTTGCTTATAAACAATAACCCTGTAACGGTATCTCATGAAACTACCTTCCTCGGACTAACAATTCTAGAAAACCTAAAATGGAACACTCACGTCTCAAATCTTAGCAAGAAGCTCAGCAAATCTTGTTATGCTCTATACACCCCCAGGTCAAGCTCCAACATTGAGACACTTCGAACGATGTATTTTGCAAATGTGCACTCACACCTAAAATATGGAATAATATTCTGGGGAAATGACCCTGAAAGCACTCACGCATTTATTATTCAAAAAAGAATATTGTGAACAATGACCAGCACTCATAAGCTGGAGTCTTGCAAACCCTTGTTTAATAAACTAAAGATTTTTCCTCTACCATGCATGTATATATGTGAAATGTGGTCTTCACAAAGAAAATTCTCATGGGAAACAAAAACACTTTTACTTTACATTCTGATGTAGACAACTACAACAATACCCGTCAAAAGCATAAGCTACATGTTCCCCACTCTGAAACTACACTTTATCAAAAAACTACCCTAATAGAGGGCATTACACTTTACAACTAACTAGGCAATGATATTACAGACATAAACACAATTCATATATTTAAAAGTAAATTGAAAGCTAACAACTGCTACAGTGTAAAGAAATTTACATATTACAACATTTCTCTTAAAAAATATAAGTAAATAAGAATTTCTTATCCCATTAGACTTTCTGTTGCATGTAAACTGTTTTGAGCTGAAGCAAATAAAAAAGAACTGGCATATCACATCCTGTGAATTATAAGAATGCCTGACAAAAAAAAAATTATGTTTCTCTGGACTATGTGTACAAATTGAAAGAAGAAAAAAAAAACTGGTCAAAACTTGCCTCCTTCAAGTTTTAAATATAGAATGTACTACTATTGTTAAATTTTATGTACTTGCTAACAGAATTGATATGCATTGTTCCAATATTATTATTATTATTATTATTATATTATTATTATTATTATTATTATTATTATAAGTAGTAGCATTAAAATAACATCTTGAAATGTTAAATTATCTGCTACTAAAAATAATTATCTAAATATCCTAATCTAACTGTAACAAGTATTGTATTTCTAGGCCAATGACCCCATCTCGATCAGGTTTTGTTGTTTCCCTGGTCCTTTGAGCAAATGCTGAGTAGGCTCCTTGTTTGCTCCTGAACAGTAATGTAACTTCTCTCCACCCAAGGCATCGTATTGACTAGTCATACATGATTGTAATTGTATATGTGACCCAATAAATACTATTATTATTATTATTATTATTATTAATATTAATTGTAGCATACAAAGTTGACTTTCCCAAAAGTAGCATGACATTTTCGTACGTCTTTCTTGTGAACTGAATGAGCAATTGGAACTGAAAGAAACTTTGTCCATTGTGCAAAAGGACAGCTTTTAGACTTGTGGCTGATCTATCTATGAAAAGACGCCATTGGTATGGTTTATGAGGACACTCAATTGCTTCAATGAGTCTGATAACATCAATACAAAACAATGATTTTTCTACATTGGATAGAAGCACACAAAATGCTTATACTTTGCCCTATATAGTGTTTTGCAGTATCGCAGGATTCATCAAGCAAGTTATAGTGAAAGTCCGTTATACGTTTTTTCTTTCTTGGGGGCATGTCCCGGATATATTTTTATAGTTCCCATGTTAAATTCTTTCAGATACGCCTTTTACATTCAGACGTTTTTTACACTTACACGTTCATAATATAAGTTCCTTTAAGACCGTATAATGTTCAAATGTTTCCGCAGAGGTGAACGGGTAAGGCGCGGCGCGACTTGCGCAAAGTGCCCGTAATTTTACTCGAGTCGGCATGCTCCTGAGCGGTCCAGCAGAGCGACCTCGAGGCCTCGAAGGCGACTTCCCGTTAATGGAACTAGTAATATAGAAGCTCGTTTCGGCCTAACTGAGGGGCCAAGACCGTGCGACCCCGCGGAGTGGTGGCCCAAAGTCGGTTTCCGATGTCGGAAACTGGATGAATTTAATTTCCGGGGCACCTATATTTTTGACATTTTTTAAAACTTCAATTACACAATGCAATTTAAATATAACATTTTAAATAAAATCATAATATATAAATTTATAGTTAATTTCAAGACTCCGGAGATATATTTATAGAGATTTTAAGACTAACACCTAATCATGGAATATGATTTGTGCACTACTGTACCCTAATAAGTGGATCGTAATGTTAAACATACCAAGATAAGACTTTTCTCGTTAGTAACTTTTTAAACTGCATATTGAATTCTTTGTTTTTGCTAATATCTTTTCTAATGAAATGATAGTGTAAAAATTTTGAGATTTTGTTTTGCTCAAATGATATTGTTTTAAATATAAAGTGGTAAAAGGGCATTGGCTGCCTATTATTTCATGAAGAGTTGAACTTTAGAACTCCTGCGGTATGTTCTATCCCATGTCCTCACCAATGACATGTATCAACTTATTCTGTGATCAACCCTATTACTAGAGCATGTCAATCAAAAAATGAGTCTGTAGTCTATTTTGCTACTACTGTTAATGTTTAACTCTATATCAAGAAGTCTTCCTTCCCCATGTTTAAAATTTATGTTTTTATTTTCTTAATGTTAATGTGTTGTCATGGGTTCTCTATTATTTTTCTTTTATTTGTATCCGTCAGTCTGTCTATCTCTTTGTCTTCTTCTCTGTCCAATTGTTTTTGTCTGTATGTACGGTTCACGTTGACATTCAAATGCATATAGTCACTGCACCTGCAAAAAGGACCTTATGAAGTGAGTTTAGTAAGGGAAAAAGAAACTAAAGAAATATGCACCTTTCCAAAATTTCAATGAAATAATTTAAATCCTTCATGTTCATTTTCCCTTGCTAAATTAACTTCACAAGGTCGATTTTGCAGGCTCAACAAGGATGTTATTTTTGTTAATCATAGTTATTGTAGTTTGAAATTGACTAATTTAAATTTTATGAGGGGTTAACAAGGGCTAACTTTTTGAGTATTCTAAATGTAGTTTTGATGCAAATTGATTGATTGTTTATCTGTTTCAGTGATGAAGAAGAAGCAGACGATTCTGTTGTGGTGGTGGAAGAAGAAGTTGAGGAAGAGGAGGATGTTGAAGGAGAAGATGGTGATGATGAAGTACTCGTTGAAGAAGATGATGAGGAGGAGGGAGAGGATGTTGGGGAAGAGGGAGATGATGGTAAGGAAATAGTTTTTTCTAGTTGCTATTTCTCTGCTGAAAGGATTAAGCCAATCATGAGTATTTTAAAACAAATACAATTTACGTTAATAGTAGTTCTACTGATGAAATGATGAAATGCATTTAGGTCGGAAAGAAGGATGATATATCCTTACTGCAATGTTTCCACCCTACTGAGCCATCATCTGGTATATATAAAATTCTATATTTTAGAAAATCTCAACCTAAAATATAATTATAATAATAATAATAATAATAATAATAATAATAATAATAATAATAATAATAATAATAAGTTTGGTTTTAAATTAAATTTTGTTTTAAGTCATTAAAATTTAATGTTCAATTGAAGAAAAAACGTTTGTGTCTTAATATGTAAAAAATTTCTAGAATTTCTAGTTTTTATACAGGCAATCGCATCCCACACTTACTAATACACATTAATGTATTCTTCTGCACCTTATTTCACACAGAATTTTTTAGTTAGATGATTGAATTTCATTCATATTGCTGTATACCACATAAAGAACTCGATTTACTTCTGATCAAGCAATTTTTACACAATAGGCACAATAGGCAAGACAATAATTCGCAAAAGAAAACTGCGCATTTACCAAGTTTGTTTCATGACTAATTTAAAGCGTATTTAACACAGATTTATCATACTTTGTCGTGTTAGTAAATAGATGAAAGGAATATGAAAGTCATGCAATACAAAGTTAAATACAAGTTAAGTACAAAATATGAAATCATCATATTTGAGAAAAGAAACATGGCAAGTGGATGCCAAAAACTGCAAGAAAATTAGAAACAATAACAAACAGAAATAAGGAATCGTAAACCTAAATATCCAATGTGCTATTTACATAAGTGATTTAAATCATTCCCATTAGGAAAGCAAAGACAAAAGACTAGACGGATAATCCTCTTTTTGTAAACGTTTACTACTTAGTCAAAAAATCTAGAAAAATAAATACATTTTCTTATTGTACACATCCTGAAACACCAAAAGGTGACACCAAAGCTGACATGCATCATTATTTACTGTATTACTACAGCTGCTGCAATTATATTTACCAACAACTTAGAACAATCATAGTGCAAAAACTAATGTTGCATTCAAGACTGCTGTAAGTTTGGGATATGGAAACTGTTTTAAGTAACAATGAAATTATAAAGGTTGGTTCCACATCATTTCACTATTTAAAAGTAGAAATCAAGTTGCATACATCAACACTAGCTGATTATTGATTGCACCAAGCTTCTACGACCTGCACAGAAATTACAAATGCAGATATAATGTTTTGGTTTCGTATTGAAATAAAAGTTAATGTCAGCTACACTATTATGGCTATGCCACAATTTATATATAAAACTATAATTTCATGAAAACAATATGTTGCTATGGCAACTGTAATCGGTAATTACATAACTGATCAATGATCAAGAGGCCTGGATTTGTACATTGAAGTTTTGTGATGTTTGAAGATCAATGTAACTTCTCTCACACATATTAAAACTACAGTAAACGTTATAAATAGTTCTCAGAATACACTATCCTTACAGACTCAGTGGAAAATTGTAAACAAATTGCATGCCACAATACTGGTGGTCTTCATCCTCATAATACAATTTTTTTTTAATTGAATTGAATTGGCCTTATTTTACGTGGCAAAACTCGGGGCATCAGGTCTGCTCTTCCGTCTGACCACGCAAATTTCGCTATGCTCCTTTCATCAACTAGCAGAGAAAGGAGGTATTTCTTGGGCAAGAAACAGGTGATTTGAATTTAACTCGGAGGCATCATTTAGGCTTGAGGAACTTTTACATGCAAGTAAATCTACGAACATGGGACAGCCAGCTTTACTTCCCCTCCGAAGGAAGGCGTACGAAGGATTTTTTCGCCCTTAAAAATCGCGCCTGCGCACGCCTTCTCTTTTTTTCTGTGGGGGTGCCTATATTCAGGGCCTTCAAATTGAGGGGCCATTGCAGTGTACCATTTGAACTAACAAACTAACCTTGCTATGCCTCTGATCCAAAGGATGAATAACAGGATAGAGGATGGGCCAAGTCTTTATAATTATTTGTTTCCTGATATAAAACAACAAAATAATAAAGTTCAATATTTTTTGTAATAAATGGAATTTTGGTAAGATCATCAATTGTCAGTTTGTATTCAGCTATAGATCCCCAGTTAACCCCTTTCAAAATTTCATTGACCCTCAGGAGGTTGATACTGATCCCGTTGGGAACCCCCTGCTTTAAACTTTTGGTGAAATCAACCACAATTCTTCAAAAGGACTGAGTAAAGAGACTGGCTTCTGTTGCTTGATCATTGGCCTCTCTTTTTGTCCTTTAGAACACCCATTCCTATACTGGTTGATTTGAAATGTCGTAGGGACTGAATGTTTCAATAAAGAAAACTGGAGTTTGGGGATGGTTAAAAATTGACTACCATCCACACTGACTTGTTTTTATTATTAGTTTATTATTATTATTATTGTAGCAATACTGCAGAAGAGCATCAATAATTTGGATGTCAAAAATTGGGGGTTGATTCTGGTGGGGGGGGATCTGATGCAGTTTTTGTATTACTGTACCAGATTGTATACTGTACGGACAGTACAGCATTTTTCTGTAATTAAAAATTTTAAAATATTACAAATTAATGGTTTTATTAATGTGTTCCACTTCTGTAAACAGTTATAAATGTTTTTAGCATTCTTCATATTTTTTATTTTTATGTTTGGAAGAAAGTACTTTGGAGGGATTTCCATTATAGTTTACAAATAACTATTTACTCATTGTACAACAACAAAAGTATATAATACTTTATTTGTTGCAATATTGATGGGAATTTTAGGAAGTCTGATTTTGAGTTTTGACAATTAGTGAATGTTTGATTTAATTTTTGATTCCAGAAATTTAATTGAATGTTTTTAAATTTTTGTGAAAATTGAATGAACTAATTATTAAAAAATGTAATCATTTCATCCTAGCACGTATATTATTTATGGGTTTTAAATGCTTTGCTTATATACTTTCATAGAAACTTTTTTTGTATTTAATTGTTGTGTGTTTCATTGCAGGTGAAGAAGGTGAAGAAGGAGGTGATGAATGAACAGTATCCTGAAATAATGTGAAAGACTTAAGGACAGGTGTATTTCAGTGACGTATTCATGTGAATCCAATGAGAAGAAACAAAACATCAGTGGTATCCCTACTCCCTTGTGCCCCCTAATTGACTCCTTCGGTTTCTTCGGCAGAAGTCAAGACTTCATGGCATAGGCTCTGGTGAGAATTTGGCTGGATTGTGCACTGCCATGTCATCTGTTTGTTACAGCCTCTATTTAAAGTTGATGGCAGTTTCTCGTGTTTTATGTCTGTACAATGTTATATCTATGGATATCATTTTCAAAGTATTCATGTTTCATTCACTCTGTCATACCAGAGTGTTAAAAGGCGCAAGTAAGTCAGGTTTTCCCAGTTTTATTTTTCCTTTTTAGGTTTCTTTGTACAAGATTGTACAGAAACTACTGAATTGTATTATACCAAATTGCTGGCTTTCTTCTTTGTTTTGTTTTGTTTTTTGATTTTTTTATTATTATTATTATTTTTCATTTTTTTTTTGTGAAACATTTTGTTTATGCGTAATTTACAATACACTATTTCCAGTTAATAGTGTTTGTTAAATATTGTGAAGATGTGAAATAAGAATGGCTTTGTTACTAAAGAGCTGCAAAGTTACCTGCATGCTACCTATTTTTAATAAAATGGACAGAGCCTTTCATATTTCATTCCTTCCTTAAGAATAAATTGGCAAAAAGCATTGCATGAAATGTATATATACAATTTTTAAACATTGTGAATATTTTTTTAAATATCTTAATTTTGAATGTGAATCAGTGTTTGGCATTGCAAATTACCATTTTCCTCATACCCTGGCATTAATACTGTTAATTAGAAAGCTTCTAGTAAACAATGTATGTTTCTGTTCGAGTGATTGTGTAAAGTTTTTTATTCTTCATATAGACTAAGTTGATTTACTTTGTGTCAAAATAAAGTATATCTCAGTCTGTCTCTCTTTCTCTCTCTCTCATATGTAGCATCGCTTCTTTCCTCTTAGGATGAATATTCAACATTCTAGTGTGCGTTTCTCTCTCTCTCTCTCTTCTTTTTTTTTTTTTTTTTTTCTTTTTCTTTTTCTTTTTCTTTTCCCCTACCGTCAAGTGGGCTGTTGCTGGGAGATGCCAGTCATAGGAATTTTATGAGTACATTTACTAGTTGTTTGTAAATTTGCAAGTAGTAGGTGAATGTCCATGGTGATTTTTTAATTCATAGTTGTCATTACTACTTTGTATGCAACTTCAAAGTTATAACATTACTAGTACCAAATTTCTTTGTGGAGCTTGAAGTCTTGAATAAACACATTGACATGAAGACTGACTGATTGTATTTCTGGTAGCACAAGTTAATTGCTTTCCAAAGGTGTCCAATTTCTGAAGATAATAGTAGCCTATTTTCGTGCAGCTTCATGGAGAAACTGGGAATGTGATGTTGCAATGGAATCCATACATATTTTGAAAATTAGTTTTAAAAATTATTTATCTCCCTCCCTTTTTTCTATTTGACTTGTATATCAAAAAATTTCGCTTTGATTGTATAATTAGTTTTCATGAAAGGTTTCTTTCCATTCCAAAAGGTCATTTTCATGGTTATAATTTCAATGTATCTGAAGTGAGTGAGAGGCAGTCTTGAGAATTGAGAGGGGGGGTGGGGGGAAGGAAGGGGTTAGCGCACAGCAACATTTAACTAATTCAGAAGTGAAGTCATATTCCCCGGTTTTCATTATTATATCTTTCTCTAATTTTCTGAAGTTAAAGGTTGTGCGTAGGTGTTCCTTTTCCCCAAAACACTCTTACTGTAACATTTATGGATAAATATGGAATGAACATGCAAAATAAGTTTTCTCAATCACCAATTTAAGATACTTTATTGCAATTTTTTAGTTCAACATCCCTGTTTTTGGCCCATTTTCCCTTCACACATTTCCTACTATTGTTTAGAGCAGTCAAATTTATTGGATTTACAATAGGAAATCCAATACCTGGTGTTGCAAATGTTTATAAAGTGATAATGTCACCCTTGGGTGTTCTTATGTAATGTTGATATGTTTGAAAATTGAAAAAGTATTGTTTTAATAAATGTACAGTAATGAATGAAGTTTGGGTTAAAATTTTCTTCAACCAGTATGGCATGGTATGGATGAGAAACAAAAAGGGGCAACATGGCTGCCACTAATCTTCATAGAAATGTTAATTGGACACAAAAAGTTCGTTAGGTACAGCAATTGTAAGTTGAAGTTCAGGCTACAAATAATGTTTTCTTAAGATCTTGGATATTGGGAAGAAATGTGGAGAGAAATTTTAGTTTTGTGCTTTAAGATCAAATCAATTTACAGATTTTATATTTTTATATGAACTTGTGCATTTGATGTACCTAAAATTAATTTTATTTCAAATTTAATTGGCTATTTAAAATGTTGATCTTGTTATTGAAACAGTTCATTGAGATTTGGAGGTACTGTGAAAGTCTGTTTTCAAATATGGCATAAATTAGAATTTGGATTTTTGGTAGTGGTTTCAGTTCGGAAATATTTGATGTTGTTGAGCAGTTGCAGTACAGGTTTCTATGAAATAGAATAATGTTTTTCTTATGATTTAATTAAAAGTATTAGTTTTTATATTGAGACAATTTTTTTTATTTACAAGTGAATTTATTTTAGTGGTGTGCTTTTTCCCCCTTTCATTTTCTTTTTTCCTTCCTTTTTTTTTTCTTCCAATAGTTGATTGCAATACTGCATGGGGAATCTTGTTTAAATGAGGAGCCCTGAGTAATTGCTTTCTAAAAATTGCAATATACACCTCTATGAACATAAGAAAGTAATTGTTTACAAATTAGTAAGGATGATATTGCACCAGTTACTTACTCCTGGGCTCACCTTCCGCATAGTATTTGTATTTAGAATTTTTATATTTAGCAATGAAAGTGAAACCACTTTTATTCAGCTGCTCAGTTCTGCAATACATTACTTCAAATGTCAAGTAGAATGATCAATTACTTCCTTTCGTTGATACGGGTGTAGTGCCAAATTTTAAGGTGCTTACAAAATGAATAAGCTTCGTTCTGTAATCTCTGATTTGGTGATCAATATTAAAGAAAAAATGGGCCAATGAGAGACTTGGTAGAATATTTTCTAAATGATCCCTTTAAAAATGTAATAATAACAAATGTTTCCTCTAAGCTTTGTCGTATTGGGAGACCAAATTGTATTTACATATTGTGTTACAAAAAGTATGAATGAGTGGAATTTCAAGAGTAAAATGCCATTTAACAGTCTATTGCTTTGGTACCTGCTGTTCAGTGTCTGTGTTTGCATGGATGTATTCTAAACCTGTGTTAACTTCCATGTGTTTCAGGAGAATAAATGTTTCTTATTTTTCATTCTTGGTGTGAATGTCTAGTTTAGAATTCAAAATTTTCTGTCATGTGTCTGCCTTCTCATTATTGATGTTGAGTGTTAGATTTTGGTCAATAGTATTGTGTAGATTTATGAGAGATAGTCCATGTTTGTCCTTGTAACATATTTTGCCTTCATTTTTGCCATGTATTTGAAAACTGTACCTAGTTTTGGACCCCCCAAAAATTCAACACCTATATTGATGTGATTTTTAAGTAGCTAATTAGCTAAGTTAAGTAGCTAATTATTAGCTTTTTAGCTAATAATTTATTTACTTTATATGGGTTACAAAACTTTGTGAACTGAAGTTTGAATGCCTAAGGAAATGTTAAAATGCAATTTTCTTTAGATATTAAGGGCAACTTTGTTTCCTTGGGCATTATGATAACAGTTCATTTGATATAAAATGAGAATGATGTGCATTAAGAACTAAGTTATTTTCGAAGGAAACTTCATTAAAGTATGTGAACTGACTTCCAAAGTTCTGAACTTAAAGCTTGAATCAGCATTTTTTAAACTTTTGAGTGTCAAATTGTAAGTTCAGAATTTTGTTAATTTTTTCCAAATTAATCTTCTGATCAAATACTACTGATAAGTTGGATAAATTGTGCCATAATTTGGGGTGAGAAATTCAGATGTTTCCCCAATAGTAGTGTTACTCATTTGTAACTCTCAAAGAGTTCAGTATATTTTGAAAATTTTCAATTTTGTTTTCCACTTGATGTGTTAATATTGTTATTCCTAGACAAAATTATTGTGCACATCATTAAAACATATATGCATCTACAAATTTGATACCACATAAATTAAATTTGGTAGAATGTTGCCTTGCAATCAATGTTTTCTTTGTGAAGCTAGCCTTTCATTCCAAGAATTTTTTTAAAATCTCCCAAATGGCTTTGTAAAAGAGAAAGACGTCGGAAAGATCCAAAAGTACGTTTTACTTAATTTCATTTAAATACTTAAATATTTAAAATTGATTTTATAGGTATTGTGTCATTCTGTTGTTCAGGTGAGGAGTTTGCATGATAAAGTGCACACATTTCGAATTTAAATTAGTTAGGTTCTTAACAGGGAACTACAATGAACTTTGATTCTATCCCAATACATGATACATGCTAGTGGTCACCTTGGAGGCCTGATGCAGTGTAAAATCTAACCTTAATATTACAACAGACAGAACATGTTTAAGCGATTTCAAATTATTTTTGAGTTGCTTGTAGCTGTTAAAGTAGGAAGACTACTAATGCAATAAGTTATGTTGGTAGGCATTTTGCAGGTTAATTTTGTGGGTGATATTAGAATGCTGAATATGATTTTGCATGTTCTTGCAACATTCCTCTCTGTTCAGAATGTTGTGTTGTTTTCTTTATGTATTGATGTGTGTATGAATTGCACGAGTTTCATGTATATTAATTTTAAAAAATTATAATTTTTTTTGCTGGTATTTTCCTCCTCTTTGCAAAATTTTTACCTGTAACTTAATGCAAGTGACATGTTGAGGATATGGTGGTGCACAATTTATATATATTACCCCCATTTCTGGGATTAGCATGATTCACATGCTTATAAGTTGTGTAATGGATTTGTGGTCGAGCAAAATTATATTTACAAAAGATCTGGGCTGATTGTGTGCAAGTTCTGTGATGATAGGCTTTCTTCATCATTTCATTTCAGCCAAGTTTGCAAACCTGCTGAGTTTAGTAAACTGCAGGTAGTTCTTCTGTGTTAAGTATATATTTATGTCTGTTAAAATTTAATGGGGTACGTTATTAATGAATGGATCAAACAAATTTTGAATGTGGGATTGTATAGAAAGTAGTGATAAATCTTGGACTGAAGTCACTCCTGATTATCCCAGTATCTTAGTTTGCGTTGCAATGGTGCACTTGTATTTAGTTTTCTCTGTATTGATATTTTTCTAATTTTGTCTGATGTCCGTTTTGTGTGATAGGCGAAATGTGAAAATTTATGTACCTTCCTTGGAAATTGTTTCATAAACAAACAATGAAATCTAATGTGACTTTCTTTGGATAACCTTCTCTTTCTTGCTGTTTGATGGATATATGATGTAGTGACAGCGTGAAGAGATGAAACTTGTTAATGCAAGCCTGTTATAAGTCCCTTATGATGGGATTAAAGGTTAAGAATTGGGCAACACTCACATTAAGTGATTTTCTGCAAGAATATTTTACATGAAACATAAGCTGTATCAAGTGCAGAAGTGGATAATCAATTTTTTTTTTTTTTCTTTCCTTTCTTTTCCCATTTTCTACAGTTAGTTTAATCAGTTTGGCTGTGAAGAAAAAAGATAGATGATTTTAAATGCCAAAAATTACCCTTGTTCATCGCAAAAATTAATAGCGTATGTAAAGTATTTGTCATTCGACCACTTTAATACTATGAAAGCTCAGAGAGGTTCACTGATAGTTTTCTACATATTGAAATATTTCTATGAAGCCAAAAACCACTGATGTTTATGATGAGTGTTTTGTCCAAAATAAGGTGCAATTAATCACAATTTTTGTTAAAATTTGATTTCTTTGGCTGTGGTAATAATAATAATAATAATAATAATAATAATAATAATAATAATAACAATAATATAAATATGTAAGAAATTCCACGAACTGGAAGGATATAATACAGGCCCTGGTAGCTAACAAGATCACAGAGTACCCTATGAGGATACTGGAGGACTACCTCTGCAAGATGAAAATAATATACAAACACTTGTACATGACCTTATTTAAAAGTCCTATTTTTAAGGAACAAGTTTCATTAGGGTAAATCTCCATATTCAATATTTTAGTATTCAGAAGACTGAAAATAATAAATAATAAACTTTTATCATTTTCGAAAAAAATCAGTTTTTAACGAACAATAGGCCTGCACCACTTTCTTAAACGATGGAGCCATTTTTGTGAAAATGTCCCAGGGGCTTAATGTAAAGTACCCCCGAAATTAAAATATCGATAGACGGGAGTTTTGCCATCAGTGATTTTTTTCGGTATCAAGAAATCCACAAAACATGGATTCTGGTTACACCATGTGTTAAAGGATTTTCCCCCTAAATTTAGCAACTGGATTTATCCACTATTACGTTACCAGGCCCCTGTAATGAACTTTTCTGCTTAAAATTCGCCGTTTCCGCTCAGTACTACTTAACGTTCTCTCTACTCCATAGTGAAAAAGTAAAAACGGTGAACATCACATATTTGTGCGCACTCCTGAAAATTTTGTGTCTGAACTAAAAAGAAGGTATAACATTAAAACTCGCCGCAACATTTGTAGGCAGCACCTTCACCCTCGGACGCAACACTGGGTCCCTTCTCTTCTGACGTTCGTTGATGACTCCCCATGTAGACATATCATGTGTGTCGATTAACTTCTGTGAGAGGTTCAGATAAGATGAAAAAGTTTTTAAAGAAATGCGGGTTTCTTTAATCAGGATTACACAATGAAAACTCCATGTTCCCAGAATAGTCTTTAATTTGGCAAACATATGATTAACATTTGAGCTTCTTCATGTTAAACTTTTGTTATGAAACGGAACATGTCTATGAATATTGAATTTCGCCCATTTGTACAATTCTTTTGGAGTGGAAATAAAAGTCCCTTGGAGACCAGCTGTCACGAAGTCCTTTCCCTTGACTGGTAGCGGTAAATGTGCTAATCTTCCAAGATGCCCGATCTTTCTGATGATTCGCAAGATTTGAGAAATTCTTTCTTTTTATATTGTCCTACTCCAGCAATGAAATAATACTTTTTTTAGAATTTCAATAAACCATTCTTGCAAATAATCATAGAGTTTCTTCTGGAAAAGGTATACCCCCGCAGTCATGATTTAAATTATCTGATATTTATGATTATATTCGATAAATCAGTTTTTGAATTTTTTGGTAATACACAAGAAATGACTGTATTGTCAGCCTGTGAATGACTGACGTGACAGCTCTGAATAGAATTTTGTTATGGAACTAAAACATTTGCTGATTGACATTTTTCAGAGGCTGCAAATACCTTCGCTGCGACTGCTATAAAATTATCACATTCCCTGTCCCTATGAAAAAGTTAAGTAATTTCCCGCGACTAAACGTTTTTGACCGTCAGCAAGTTTTACAGCAATATTCTCAAAAATAAAAATATTTTTCAACACGTCTCGATGTATTTCTAAATTCTATGACAGTCCTAGCAAGTCCATGCCAAATTATGTGCAGTAATGGGGATTTCATGGAAATATTTGCTCTAGAAATTGTAAACATCTGTGACCCACATGTGGTTCCCGAATGTAGTAAAATCATCGATTGTGTTGTTTTATTAACCAAATGTGGATCACAGGACAGTGAATGTGTTAAATTTTTGAAGTCCCTTTTACACCAATACATCTAATTCACTTTTAACGATAATCTTTTGGGATCTATCACTTTTAGTCATTTCTTATAAATTAGTTCTTGGACAATATTGGCTGTTGAGAAAACTTACACCCATTAACGAAGATTTGAAGTATGTGGACATATCATATATGTTTGAAGGATTATTACTTACACTTTTCTTAATAAGATCATCAGTATTGCCGAATGTGTTGTGTACTTGCTGATTATAACTTAGTATATTTGCAAATAACGCATACCTGGAGCAAAGTACACAATTCTGTGATCTTAGAGATGCGAAAGTTAAGGAACAGATTTTGTTACTTGAATACCTAAATTCTGTATAAAGTTATCTCACAGTTCAGCTAGAACTCTTTTGAAATTTTACTTTTTTTAAAAAAATTTCTTAAAATGTTTCTTATCTTTCATACCAGCCATGATTGTACTTGTACCATAGTGTTAAAAATCTGTTTCTGGTTTTATCTCATTTGAAAAATGGCGGCGTTTTGAAAATTTTTTAGGCATTGATACAATGTCTGTTTGCATTTGAGTTTGTTTTCAACGTGAGCTACATGAAAAACACGGAATTCAATCATGAATTTGTTTCTACTCCAACGTTTTGGAAGGCAAGTTTGAATCTGATACTTTTCATTCATGAAATGTATCTTTAAAACCTGTTAACATTTCATCTCAATTTTTCTCCTTAATATTAAAAAACTCATTTATTTTTTACTGCTTTCCACACGGAGCTCTTTCCATCATGATATAGGTGTATACTGCATAACTACCCTGCATCGAGAGGTTAGTGGTTCCGAGAGAAATACGGAAACAGTTGAGTGATGTTACATGCTCTCATGTCCGTGATATTGGCACACCACCACAACCCAAACGACTGAAACCATTACCATTCGTTTGTACCACGAAAACATTCCTTTGTACTAGAACCACTTACAAGATACTAGATACCACTTACTATTGTGGTGGTGCCAACTTCACACTGGCACCGCCACCATCGTAAAAATATTTGAAAACATTATAAATCGTTTGTACCGGATAGTTCCACCAGACTTTTCGTTTGTACCAAAAAAGTAATGAAGGTACATCCATTTTAATGAGG